TTTTTTTTTTTTTTTTTTGTTAAATGAATTCATACCCATTTTTCATTTGCAGCAAAAATATGAAAAGAAAAATGTTTTTCCTCTCCCTCAGTGACAGCATTTTAATGTACTACTCAACACAATTTGAATGAATAAATTCAAAGTTTTCATATGCTAGAAAGATCTGCTAGTTCTACTTATAAGTTTATGAAACATATAACCCAATATGGCATATAGTCTATAAAAGGAATGATAACTGACATTGCACAGGCCAAGTCTGTTTCCATTGCCCTGCTGTGCTACAGTCGTTTCTGGTGGTGGTTGTGGGGGGCAGTATTTGAATAGGCTGTAAAATAGTATTAGCAGTATTCAGGGGCTTTCAAGCAGACATTCAAACATTGAGCTTTGTATATTAGCTTTGCTATGGTGTCAGTTCTTTTTAGTTCATCATGTGAGTAACAAACACTTTCTCTTTTAAAATTTTTATTAATTTATTTTTCCTCATTAGGTTACTGTACAGAAGTTTTCTTGAACCTTTCTTACTTTGCTGTGATATAAAGTTTGCAAGTATATCTGGTTATAAGCAAACAGGTTTAATTATATATTTTGCATGTATGTAAAACATTTTCTGCCTTTTACTCAGTGATCTTTGTACTCTTAAAATAGTATAATTATTAGTATATTTATTTTACATTTTGAGATTTTCATGCCATTAAATATTTATTCTGGTTCTCCAACTGGTGTCAGATGAGTAAATACTATAACTGCTACTATTATTACTATAGCTTCCTTATGTAAAATAGTTCTTTGGTTGTATCTGGATTTTTTTTTTTGTTTTTTTTTGATCTTTGCTTCTCTTGTGCTGGCATTTATTTTTCTTAATTATGGTTTTTGTAAAGGTCACTATATGCTCTTGTCCCAATAAGAGTGCCAAGAAAGTAATGTCTACAGTGCTAGAGAGAGAAATATTTTCTGCAATTGTTATTTTAACTGAAATTGTTGGAGAATGACTCCTCAACAATTCTTTTACTTTTATTTTTGAAGTATAAAAAACAAAAAACAAATAATTCATGCAAAATAGGTTATAATGAAGGTTAAAATTAATTTTTACATTATAAAATTATAAATTTTACTCAGTAAAACTAATATGATTACTAAAAGCATTTGTAATACTGTAACAGGAGATACTTTTTATCCCAGTTATTAAATGTAGCTTTATATGCTACATGTCTGTAGAAATAATGGCCATTGTTAAATGTAAATGGCAGAACTTCCCAACAAACAGAATTAACAAAGTTTGTAAAGAACAAAGCAAAAATAATTTGGAACAAGCAAACAATATATGCAAAACAAAGCAACAGTAATAAGGTAAAAAAATTTACAAACTAAAAATTGATTTTGACACACGAAAGTAGATTCGGATTAACAAACATAGCATAGATAAGGAGACTGAGAAGTGGTCTATCTTATTGGCTAGGAAGAAATCCCAGCATGCATTTGTGTGGTTTTACACTTATAAATCGGGGTGGGGGAAGTATTTTGCAGTCATTCCTTTGTACAAATTGGAACCAACAATGTCTTTCCATAGTAACCTCAGGATTAAGAATTCTTGGTTATGGAATCAAAGTAGAATTATGGTTGGAAGCATTGGCCACTTTTATCAATCAGCCAACACAGAAAATTATAATTTTGTTTTTAGTTTGCAGGAATAAAAGTTATCTGTTAAGCAACTTTGTCTACATTTTTATATATTTTTCAAAAAAAAATCCAATAAAACTGTTTCTTTATTTTTAAAAATCAGTCATGTTTAAGAGAATCTATAGCTAATGTGTCAAATTCTAAAATATTTATTCCAAAAATTGCATGAAATTAATCTGGTTGTTAAAAGCTTCAAGTCATATATAATACAATATCTGTCTATATTTCTAAGATGAGGTATTGTAATTATTTACATTGTTGTCCTCATCTTCGTTGCCATATTCATGACATTTTGGTGATTGGAATTTTGAACTGCACCTTTTATTTCATCCACTGGGGTAGTTCTAGTTCCATGTGCCAAACCTCTTATATACTGATGTCTCAGCATCAGTTATCTCCCTTTAACTCAACTCTCCAAGTTGTAGCTGGCCAGGTATTGAATTCACAACCCTTTTGGCTTAAGACACTGGATTCAACCAACACTTTTATCTACTGAGCCTTGAGGACATCAGTGTATGCACTTTTAAACCTAATGTCTCTGTAACAATTTTTTCCAGAGCTCATATTTAATTTTTTTTATATTTTCCTCTAGCTATTACTGGTTCCCATATTGTATTCATTTCTATACTTGGCCGGTTTAGGAGATTTCTGTGGTCTAGCATATGCACTGATTCCTTAAGTTTTCATATTTTCCAGTGACATTCTTAATATTTCAACCTCACCCCACAGGGGACAGTGATCTACATTTTCCCTCCATATATGGTCAGCTATGCCTGATTTTTCTATTTCTCCTCGTGTTATGGCTTTATGGCATTCCTGCAGTTTTATCTTAAGAGGACAGCCTGCTTCTCCTTTATATTTCTTACCACAGCTGCATGGGATGGTGTACACACAGTCTTTAATCATGTTCTCCTCTGTGGAAGGTCATACTCGGAAGAGGTATCTGCAAAGTGTTGAAGCACTTTTGAAGGTCATCCTGATGTTATATGAACCACAGATCTTTTGTATCTTTCCCAATAATCCCTTCACATAGGGTAGGCAGACCAAGGCTATTTTCTGAGTGTTGTTATCCTCTTGCACCCTTCTATCCAGGTTTGTTGCAGCTGCTGTCATGTACCCAGGGCAGCTGTTATGTTGTAGTATACTGCTTATTCTGACCACTTTTTGTTCATATGTCTCTGAGTCACCACATATGACTTTTGCTCAAAGTTGTAAACAGCGGATGATACCTTTTGTTACACTGTATGGGTGGTGGGAGTTGAAGTTGAGGTATTATCCGGTGAATGTTAGCTTGCAGTATATGGATGTCTTGAACCCATGCTCTATTTGAGATATTAGTACATCACTGGAAAATACAAAAACTTAAGGAATCAGCACATATGCTAGGCCACAAAAATATCCTAAGCCAGCCAAACATAGAAATGAATACAATATGGGAACCAGTAATATGGAGTGCTAGAAAAAAATCAATAATAACGACAAAACTGTAATATGAGGTCTGGTGAAAAATGTTACTGAGACATTAAGTTTATAAATCCCAAAAATTCATACAATGATGTCCTCAAGGACACATGGCCCAGTGGATAAAAGCATTGGTTGACTTGAGTTGTGAGTTCAATACCTGGCTATAGCAGAGGTGGACAAAAACTTGGAGAGTTAACTTAAAAGGAGATAACTAATACTGAGACATCTGGAAGAGGCATGGCACATGGAACTAGAACAATCTAGTCTGGTGGACGAAATAAAGAGTTCAGTTTGAAATTCCAATCACCTAAATAAGGCCAGCTGAAACATCATGAATATGGCAACAAAGATGAGGACAACAGTCCAAACAATGTAAATAGTGTAAATATATTACTGCTTTCACAAAATCAATGTAAATCTAGGTGGATAGTTTTTAATATCACCAAAGATCAATCAAATGTTTGCTTGTATAGATATTGGTAGAGGCTGAATGTATTATGACATCTTTAATAAACACCAACTCTGTCACTCATGCAAATAAATACAATTTTCTGTGAATCAAATTGATTTGAATACTCACTGTTTTTTTTTTTTTTTTTTCTTTTTTATGAATTCTTTTATAAAAGCCTTATAAAGGTATATGGATTATAAAGAGAGAATTATTAAATTGTATCAATTTAATTTGGAAGGATAATTTTAAGATTCTGTAAAGCTATGTGTAAGTGCCTTCAGGACTCCCACAGCTTATATGATGACATATTTGCTAAGTAGGCCTGGTGCATTAGTAGATTGTATCTTGTGTATTCTTATAATAAACATAAATAGCAATAAATTTGAAGAGTGGGATTATATCAGAAATAATTACATTTTTAATTTTTTCTTTTTAACAACAGCCCAAACTTAGATTATAGTAAAAATTACAATGAATTCTGTAACCTCGGTTGTACAAAGTTTCGAAATATTTTAAGGATTTTTATTGATGGCTTAACAGAAAATATTATGCATTTTTTAATTAAAAATTAGTCTGCTGTCATTTTTATGTGTGACTAAGTTAAAGCTTTAACAAATTATATCAATTTTCAATATTATAAACACGTATGTTGAAATGTTTGTTATAATTATTAAATGTGTTTTGTGTTTATCAACATAAACTATGTTTTTATGGCAAAGATACACATAGTGGATTCTGCAAGTAGAATATTTAATTTTTTTTCTGAAATTGTAATTCTTTTTGGTATTTACTAAACTTTGCTTCATGCTTTGGAGAGAGAGCCTGCTTTATTTTAAAAATCAGCATTTGAAAATCAGGTATTTTACCTGAACATTGACCTGGCATCGATGAAAAATATAAAACTGTACTATTTCATTCATTATGGCATACTATTTCCTATTCACTCAGTTTAGTCTGGCATAATGTTACAATAGCAGAACATTCAGTAAGGTTTAAACCCCTAGGGTTATGATTTACAAGTTTATCTGACAAGCCATTGCTCTATAACAGGTACCTCTAAAAATGTAATTCTTTTAATAATTAATTTTAAACTCAGAATTAGTTAAATGTTTCCTCCTACAAGAAAACTCTTCACCTTGTGGCCAAATAACAGCCTTTTAAATATTCAGATTGTGTACTTAATTCAGATTGAATTTCAAGTAATACATATTTATATCCTTTCCAGTCAGTTTATAATTTATTTACATTAGCCTTCCAAATACTTTATTTCTATTTACTAATAATCCACTTTATTCACAATTAAATGCAAGTCTTAAATGTCAAAGTATTTTAAATTCATTTTTATTTTTTTTAGGTAACATAACTAGGAACCCCACACTACCTCTGCATCTCATTCCTGCTCCTTAAGATGGGATGTTGTATAAAGAAACCATCAGTTCGCCGGGAACCAAAAGAGGATGGCAGATCTCCAGATAGGGCCTCCGAAGCAGTGGGATATACACCTTCACGTAGGGATCTTCCCCCTGTTCCTATTGTGCCTAGCCGCCCAGGTGAGCACCTGCACTGCTATTCTCACCTCCTGTTTTAACTTGTTTAGAGCTGGAAGAGTAAAGGAGAGCCAGTATGTAAGAAATGGCACTCCAATTTCAACTCTAACAAATTTCTTTCAAGAATAGATGCATATAATAAACATATTGCATGATAATTAGGTATTTTTACCCAAATTCATATTTGAAAATTATCTTCAAAATTTTAAAAGATTTTGTAAACAAATATTGACAATTTTTTAAAACAATGTTAAAAAAAATCTAAATGAAAAGTGTATTTTTGTTCAATATTCCTTTATTATAATGATTGAAAAAAAAAATATATAAATGTAAAATAGTTGTGTAAAAAATTCATTCTGACAATAGTTTTGAAGTGACCTCAAAAATTACCTTTTTGATTTTTTTTTTTTAACTTTAGAAATTTGTTTTATGGAAACTTATGCTGAGTCTTGTTCTTAAAAAAATAATGTATTTAAGATTTAAAGATGTTCTTCAAAGATGAGCAGTAAAATATCTAATAATTTGTTCAACTAAAATATATAGAATGCTGAACTAAACTGTAGCTAAAGCCATCCTTTAAAACTTTTGTTCTGAACTGAATTTTGGAATATCTTAAAAGCAAAACATCAATATTGGGACAAAAAATAATACTTTTGAATACCTTTGAGAATAGGTATACTTTGAAATGGTAAGTACACTTACTTACTCACTCATGGGAAATTTGAATTTGGTAAAACTTTAACATCTGCATGTTAAGATTTGTATATTTCGTAGTAATTCTGTTCAGTTTACATGATTCCTACATTAATATCTTAGTTTCTTTATCATTTCAAGGGAAGCATTCATGTTTGTGTGCGTGTACACAATTTTTCTCCAGATGAAAAAGAAATTAGAACTTGAAAATTTGCAGTTGTTTTTTTTTTTTGTTTTTTTTTAATTATCTTAATTTGGGATCTGGGTTGCATTAATAGTGAGACATCTAGGTTGCATTAAACTCATTAATAGTTTGACTGCTTGCTAAATCTTGATAGCAGACAGCCCTTTTGTTTTGAAGCTGAATATCATATTGGTATCTTTTAAAATCAGTTTAGGTATTGGAGAGAAATAGGAATGTGCATATATAAAACTAAATTGAAAAATGTAACTTTGTTTCAATTTTCTTACTGGAAATATCTTGTTTATCTCCAAAACCATAGCTTTCACTTGAGCTTGAACAGAAACCATTGGTGATAGTGAAGAAATATGCAACTCTCTCATTTCACAAACAATGTCTCTCTCTTTCTCTCTCTCTCTCTCTCTCTCTCTCTCACATAAAATAGTTTGTGGATGCCTCATTATGACTAGCAATTAAACTAGCAGATGATTACCATTGTAGTGAGCTTGATTTTCACTGGGTGACCCACATGCGTGTTTGTGCTAAACTAAACCCAGTTTAGTGAATACCAATAATATATTGTTGAAATCTTGCTATTTAACAATTCTGCTGCTGAATACTAAACAATACAAGAATATTGGTCAAAATAAAATTTGAACATTCTATGAGCAGATTTTAATTTTTTACTCTTTTACATATCAAATCTGCTCTATTTTCTTGGGAAAGTTACATTCAAAATACAAATTTTCGTTCACAATCCAAACTTACTTAGACATGTTCAGTAGGATTCTTGTCAGGAGACCGAGTTAGCCATGTGTTACATAATGCTTCTTTTTTTCTTTTTTTTTTTTTGCTGTACAATATGTAGCTCAACTTTCTTGTTTATTCAAATAATTCTCAGTGATTATCTGGAGATGTCCTTCCTACAGAATGGGTATGTTTTGAAATAATGTTCCTACATATTCCAGTAATTTTGAATGATTCCCTACACCAAAAATCTTTTGTTTGATAGCTGCAAGCATTTCAAATAAAATTCTTGGATAGTTAATCTAGAGACACATGCTATTTAAAAACTAAACATTTGAATTATATGCAAAGGTGATTGTACACTGAAACTCTAATACCATTACAACTGTCCACTCTTTATTCGGGTGAATGTTGAATTTAAAAAGTGGCTTTAATTTGCCTGCTCTTTCATAATTCTGTAAAAAAAGAAACCATATTGCTTTTCTTGGATTGTTTTTAACTCATCTACCTTTTCTTTTTCAACTTCCAGCTCGTTGTCACTCACTTTTTTGACAGATTAATCTGAATGACACACAATAGTTTCTTTCCTTTTATTGACGAATTTATTTAATCAGGCAGTCCACTGCATAAAGTAGAAGTGACAATCTAAAAATTTTTACCGATTGTTTTATTTCACCTTCAAAGTGACTGACAATATACCCACTGTCAAAATCTGACAATTCCTTGCTCCCTTATTATGAGGCATTGTGAAATGATATGTATTGTACTTATTATAGTGAATCATGTTTTTCTTACACCTAAATTTTTATGAATTAACAAAATTTTAAGATCTGTACATTTTTGGAAAAACTTCATTACATTCACATACATATACATTGCTTGTTCATGTTGACAAAATATAATTTTATTCTTAATGTCTGTTCATAATTTCAAATGATCATGTATATTTGTAGATATGTTAGTTGTAGTCATATAGTTCATGAATATTTGTAAGTATTTTTCAATTTTCTAACAAGAAATGATTTTTTAAGTAAAAGTCATAAATATTATTTAATTCTTTTATATAGATTGCTGGAGTCATTAAAAACATCTATCAATGTGCACATATGTTTTTATATAACTAAATGTTGTTTTAAGAACTATATTATACTCATTTCTTTATTCATTAATAAACATAAAAAATGAAACACAGCAACTCTAAAGGAAAATATAGATATCTGGAATTATATGCTACATTGTCAGTTAACAATATCTGTTATATCCTCAAATGAAAAGCAATAATTTGCATTATTGTAACATCTAGGGTTCTAAAGATTTGGGAAATTAATTTTTCTAGACCAAGTGAAATGAGTAAGTACTAATTCAGTAATATATCCTATGAATTATTTATTAATCACTGATCAGTCTGAATATTTTCCAACATTACCAACTTTCTGATAGATAAATAGAAACAAAATAGATATACTTGACACACAATTGATTCCCTCTTTAAAACCATTTATATGGATAAATGCAAGAAATAAAAACTCTCACAACAGATCATCTGCAACATTTGATTTGCCAACTACAAGGAATTTCAAGTTTGAACTACCAGGAATAATGTAGTATACTTGTAGTTCCTGAATGACTTAAAATGATATATCTAACATATATATGACATGTCATATCAAAATGGATACATAATTATCAATTTAGTGTTTTATTTTAACTCTGAAATGTATTTTATATGGAAAAAATTAACTAAAAATTGTTTGCTGTATATCATTACATGTGCTACTCTAAATTTATATTTGCATCTATTCTTGAAATTTATTGAGCAATCTGATATTTAAAATGAAGGGGAAAAGTATCTATAAAATCATAGAAACTGTTAAAAAGTATTCTTATTGAAACCGGCTAAAATGTTTAATGATATTGATAATTATTTAATTAAATCTTACTCCTGCCTATCTTTCTGGTAAAAATTTGATAATGTGTTCTAATTATTTTCAGGCTCTAAATTTTATTTCACTATCACAGCAAATTGATTTTTCTGCATATAACTTAAATCCAGTTGATATGGGTAAGACCTTGCCCAAATTAGGTTTTAAAATTAGATTTTTCTACCATTTTTATTATTAACTTTAACGCAACCATCTAGCAAGTTTCATATTTACATAAGATAGCTCCAGTTGAGGAGGTTGCCTTGAAGACCCCTAAAGCCCAGGCAGATAAGCTAAAATGGGAAGTGTGACAAGCATTAGAAAAGGCCAAGCTGCATAATGCAAACATCATAAAGGAATAAAAATTGGCCATCAAACCTCTATAGATTAACACCATCATCATCATACTGCCAGCAGACAAAGGCAGTAGTAATGGACAAATTGGAATACTCTGAGAAATTAACCAGCATATTTGGGAATGGTAGCCTAACACAGGAGAATATGACCAAGAATTGTGTATTCTATTCTTTGCTGTTGTGGCAAAAAATACAAAGGTGAAACCAACTAATCCCTAAAAGTAAGGCTGAAGGACCATCAAAAGGCTGTAATTATGGGTGAAATCAGGTATGGTTGAGTTGGTGAGCAAACTTTTCTTGCCATACATAATATATGAGAACACTGGAGAATCAGATGTTTGAAAGAATCAGTGCATCTGCTAGGTTATAACAACCTCCTCAGTAGGACTTACATAGAAATAAATGCCATATAGCCATCAATAAAGAAAGAAAAAGAAATGGTTGCAATGTGACCCAAGCTTAACAGAGAGGCTGCAGTAGCAGCAGAAAAGGAATTAATAAGAACATTAGCTTTATGATTCCAAGTTCTAGCTTCAGGATTGTCCTATGGGACAATAGACTAGAATATTAAGGCATTATTAATTTATTAGTTTGCTGATGGTAAACGTGAATTCAACCCTGGAGTGGATAATACAGACGATAGAAACAGAACTAACAATAACAGCTGCATTTAAAACCCCCATAGATTAAATAAAGGGTTCAGTTCAAAATTCCTTGAAGGTTACATTGATCCACAGGCATCTCTGAAGAAGGCCAGAGACCATAACACCTAAAACATTGTGATAATAACAACAAAGCAGAGGTCATTAATCTGACTGTAAATAATAACTCCTTACTCCAGAAGTTTTGTGTGTGAGATATTCTTTGTTCAACTATGAAATCATTATTTTGTTTTTTTATTACAGGCATTCATTAAATAATTTCTTTGAGATATTTTAAATTTCTGGAATTTTAAGATTTCAGATTTTACAACTAAGGTTGATAGTTTCAATTGCTAGTTTGACATTAATGATGCTTACAGACATTAACTGGATACTCATTTAATTTCCTTTAGATTTGCAATAAAAGAAATATATTCAAAACATTTTCTGTATTTATGGTAAG